CGGGTCCTTGGAGAGGGACATCATGCTTGGGAGGGTGGCGGGACAGCACAGGAGGGGAAGACCCTCTATGAGATGGATTGATTCGGTGACTGGGGTAATCAGGATGGGTGTTGTCAGAGGCAGTGCGGGCTGGCGCAGGATAGAGCAGGGTTTAGGGCTGTTGTGCATAGGGTCGCTATGAGTTGAAAGCGACTCAACGGCACATAACAACAACAACAACATAATAAAGTACGCACATAACAATGTATGAAGTTATGAGTAAAACATATGCTATTATCATCCCTGTTATAATTTTTTATATTATTTCATTCAATGTTTCCAAACTTACTCCTTATCAAGCCAATTCTCCCCAAATTCAACTCTTTTCTACTGTATTCACGCAATGCTCAGGAGCTCAAATCAGAACGCAGAGTCAGTCTTAAGCATCATCACTCTGCCCTGTGCATTTCACATATTCAAATGGCATCCAGCTGCTGAGAGCTCCATGATTTTCCCTCTGGAATGTCCTGCCTGGTCCGCCACTGACTATTCCTACTTCAGATAAGTGGTTACCTCTTGTCTGGTAACGTGCCTGCGTCTATTTCCTAGCTGGCTCTCAGCATACTCTCCCCATTCCTCCCTTCCCATGCACACAACCTCCACCTGTGACGCTGCTGGCTGGGCTGGGAACACCTGACATTCCTGTTTCTCTGCATGCACTGTTCCCTGTGTATTTGGGGCTACTCCGGCATTTTCTGTCCTGCCAACTCCTAGTGACCTCAGCTCAGAAATAAATAAAAAAATTAATGGATGATAATTATGAATTACACAGCAGACTAATAGATTTAAGAAAAATTTCATAAAACAGGCATGTAAAAAAACCATAACTTTTGCAAACCAGAAAACCCAGTTTATCTAGAAATTGTCTGAGATTCATGCAGTAAGTCCTTAGTATGTATCATGTACTTTGGGAAAACACAATTATTTCCCCCTCTCCTTTAATTTTCACAGTGCTATTACTGTTAGCCTAAGCATAACTTCGCAATTGTGGAGAAGACACAGCACAGGTGAAGTAATTTGCTCAAGGACACAAAGAAGCTAAGTGACTGTGCTGAAACTAAAATAATGGTCTGATTTCAAAGGTTACGGTCACAGCCACCCTGCTGTTCTAACTCCCATAATCTTCTGTGTGGTTGGCATGCTTACTGTGGCATCTTGGCCTACTCCTGATGTTGGTTAAAAGCCTTACCATCCTAAATTACACAATGGTTTCAGGGGCATGCTCAGATGAGGAGGATGGCACAGGACAGGTCAAGGTTCGCGTCTGTTGTTCACAGAGTCATTATTAGTCATACTCGACACGATGACACCTAACTACAACAGCAGCATCAGGCCATAATGCCAGCTCCGAGATGAAAGAGGCTGAAGAGTTTCCAGTAAGCTGCTGAGAATATCATAAAAGGTGTGCACAACCTAAGCCATAGTATTTTCAGTTGTTTCTCTCGTGTGTGTGTGTGTGTGAGAGAGAAAAGCGGACAATGACTAGAGAAGACAGAAGAATTGGCAAAGAATACTGACTACACCATGAATTATCAAAAGAACAAACAAATCTGTCATAGAAGTCCAAGCAAAGTACACTTTAGAAGCAAGGATAGTGAGACTTCATCTGTTTGAGGCAAATTATTAGGAGGGCTCAGTCCTTGGAAAAAAAGACATCAAACTTGTAAAAGCAGAGGGTCAGCAAAGGAGAGGAAGATGCTGAATGAGATGGAGTAACTCAATAACTGCAAGAATGGGACCAAGAACAGCAGAGACTGTGAAGATGGCAAAGGACCAGGGATTTACTCTCATACTGTTAAGTTGGGGCAGAGACTGTAAAGATGGCAAAGGACAGGGGATTTCTCGTACTTTAAGTTGGGGGCTGACAGCACTTAACAACATGCTTGAGTTTGTCCCTTTTTAAATATTCAAAGCCCACTCTTATTAGGTGCTGTTGACTCTACCAGGACTGAGCAACTTTATGAACAACAAATAGAAATTGCCCTCTCCTGCATCACCTTCATGATCTCAGTCATTCTCAAACCCACTATCATAGTCACTGTGTCGATCCATCTCATTGAGGGTCTTCCTCGCTTCCAATGACCCTCTCACTTTTCCCAGCACTGTCTCCTTCCAAGGACTGACCCCTCCTGACAACATGCCCCGAGTGTATGAGATGACGTCTCACCATCCTGGCCGCTAAGGAGCACCCTGGTTGCACTTCCTCCAGGACAGACTTGTTTGTTCTTTTTGGCAGTCCCCAAGTCTGCTAGAACCTATCAAATACATACACAGACACTGAATTTAGTAACTACAACTTTCAGGAGTTACCGAAATAAATATCCTCTCTCTATCACTATACTTTTCCTGGCACTAAGTCAGGAATATGGACACGAGAAAGGTTAGTCTTTGATCAGGGAGCCTTGCTGGTAGTGAAGTTAAAGTACACAGCTGATAACTGGGGGAAAAAAAGTGAGCTGTTCAAACCCACTGGCCACTGTTTGAGAGAATACTGTAGCAGTCTGCTCTACAGATTTATAAGAAATCCTATGGGGCAGTTCTAATTGACAGCAGTGTATTTAGTTCCTTTGCAGTGTGATCAAGAGTGGTTCCCCATAGTCATCACATATGGAAATCACAAATATCAACAGAAGGGAACTCTGGTGGCCTAGTGGCAAGAAACTGTACTGCAATCCCAGAGGCATACGGTTTGAATCCACCAGACACTCTGCTGGAGAAGGAGGGGCAGTCTCCTCCTGTACCAGTCAGATCTGATTTGACGGTACACACGCACACACACAAATAATATAATAAAAAACAAAAAAAAAACCAAGTATCAGCAGAAAACCCACAGGTATTAAAACAGACACTTGGCTATACAGAACCAATCCTATAGCTATCGTAACACTAAACACATCAGTAAAACAAGTAAAAAATAAAACTTGACAAGATGTGGATTACCAGCACTTAATCACAAGAAAACTGGATCCGTCATGCCCTATGAGGTGAAATAATTTAAAGCAAGACATGAAAATAATGTCTGAGCTCCTCCTATGTATTAGACGCTGAAGTAGATGCTGGGAGACGATAGAAAAATCTCTAAATTGGTAACACAATATGAAGTGGCTTATATGTTTTCCTTCTCTGAAATGTGTGCCTGGAACACACCAATCAACACAAACGTTTCTAGAAACATGACATAAAACTGCTTTCTCCCCAGTCTTCTCATCTATTTCAAAAGATACAGTTAAAAATGATAAAGATGAAGTAACCGTCAACCGTATAAATATCTCCTGATGAATAAAATCTTCTTACCTAACCCTTCAAGTTCTTGAACCACTTCTTTCCAAACAGGCTCAATATGGATACAGCTGAAGCACCAATCAGAGGTGATCTTAATGAGGTAGGGTTTCTTGAAGCTGTCTGGAACCACTTCGTTTACGTAATGTGAAAAGTGCAATAAATACTTCTCATCAATTGAGTCCCGGCGCTCAGAGTTAAAAGAGAAATGAAAAAAGGATTCATCAAAATAAAAATTTTCATGGAAGTGGCGGAAGCGATACTCTCGCTGCTGCTGCTTCTGGTAGCCTTGGTTCTCGCCAGCGTCTCCATAGTGATCATAGTGTGATCTCTTTTCTTCATTGGAAAGAAGCTGTAAGAAAGGATAAAATAATAATAAATCTAAAGGGAAAAAAGATTATCCAAAGGAGTTTTCTATAAATAGCTTAGAAGATATAGAAAGAAATTACACAGGCATGGAATATATCTCTTACATTATAATGCATTCTATAAAATAGGCTGTTCAGTGATTTGGAAGTTGTGCCAACACCGCATTATTTACAGAGGAATGCAGGACAGTCACTGGAACTAAGGAACTTTGCCAAAATGTTGGCACTTGTGCGATGTGGTTGGGTCACCAGTTTCCTAAGAACTGTACCTGGCTCTCTCCTACTCACTGCAGCCGATTGCTGTACAGCCAAGTGCTCTTCCTGCTTCTCCTCCACCGACTCCTGTAGCCTGCACGGCTCAGGCCTAGGCTATTATGTTAAGACCAGGCCAAGCGGGGTAGCTACTTTGGGGAAACGTCCCCCTGGGAAGCTCTGGTAGCAACTTCTCAGTACCTGCCTGAGTTGAGCGCTGGGACCCTTTCTCCAACGGACCCGAGAGCTAGGAACAGACAGATCACGTCTCCAGATCCCAGAATGTGGCAACGTATGTCCACTATACCCCATTCCTGAACTGAGATCTCTGAACTCTATTTATTATAACTTTATACAATCATTGACATATATGAAGTCAGACATTGGTTCAAAAGACATTAAAAGCATATTCATACACGTAAAGATTATTCTCTAGCACTCTAAGCATTCTAACACTATACCAAGAAACTCTTCTCTCAATAAACATCAAAGAAAATCCAAGACCAAAATTAGGAAAAAAAAATGACCAAAAAAAAAAAAAAAAGTGACCAAACAAATAAACCCAACTCAAGTACTTGAGTCATTCAGATAAACCAATCAAAACAAATCAAACAGGTGGCAAGTCAGTCTGGACTCATGGTGACCCTCCCTTGGGTTTCTACAGGAGGAGACTACCTTCTCCCAGCTCAACACGGGCAGTCATTGAGATAGCTGTGCTTATCACAGCATTAGTGATTTTGAATTATCATAACACTAAACACATCAGTAAAACAAAATATAACATGAAACATGATAAAATAGAACATGATGCTGATCACTGGGACTTGATCACAAGAAAACGGGGTCTGTCATATCCTATGAATTGAAACAATTTAAAGCAAGACAATAAAAGCTTTGAAACCCAGAAAGCAGCCACAAAATGGAGTTCTGTGTCTTTTATGCTTAGTTAACTGTTTTACTTAAAAACAACTTTGAAGTCTAACACCCGAGGATCTGCTTTAGATCCTCGAAAGACTGCTGTGTGACTGCTAAAAAGCTCGAGTTAAAATGTATTTGTAACCTTATGCGGCTTTCACAAATACAGAGAAACTGGTTCTTAATTCTTTCAAGCAAGTTTCTAAAAGGCAACAGAGCCATGTCTCAGGGCAATTCTATAATTCCAATTAAAGATTTTAAAATAGGTCAGTCTGTTCAAGAGTAGAATTGTTCAGGCACTTGTTTTGGCACATAATGGATGTGGCCAAAATACGTTTTCTCTGCCATCATTTAGAAACTGGGCCAAGGCATCAGGAAAATATTCTATCTGAGAAGATTTTACAGAACCAACTGCCAATTGCCTAAGGCAGGTAATTTCTTCATTCATTTAATTTTTACAAATTGTGGCTTGGGTGAAGGTTTACAGAGCATTAAGGCAAGCTTTAGAAGAGCTAATGAATGCATTACCAAGTTTGGCACAGTACCTCATAAGCCTTGCTAATTTGAATGAATTTGTCTTCTGCTCCAGGATCTTTATTTTTGTCAGGATGCCTGAAATACAAATAGGCAAACTATGAGAAGAAATAGAATTTTTAAAATACATGGACAATTAACATTCTTATACACAGTTGACTACACTGGTGGTAAACAGAATACCATTTTCTTAGGACAGTTTCTCAAAAACAATTGGAAGAAGCAACTCATTGCTTCACATGGCTATAAATGAAATCTTGAAACAGGCAATTACTTCCCAATGCATTCTAACTAGGCACATTTTCAGGTAACAAGACAGCACTTAGGCATTTCAGAGCAGATGTGGGGCTCTTCACAATGCTTCTGAACACTCTGCAAGCTGGCTCAAGGTTAAAGTCACTTATGCATAAGAATATACATCTTTGCCCAGGAAGCAGCATTTCACCTCAATGTTAGAATGATACTCATGTAGGCATTTGTTCTGACAACTCAAGAATACACAGGAAACAGCTTTCAGGATGCAATATGAATCTGTTTATTAATAGCTATGTTCCACACTGTACCTTGTGGCTGACTTCCACATTAGAACATAACAATTTTCAATATTATTACCCTGTAGGGAAGAATGTCACCATTGCCCCCAGGCCTGATCACTCCTTGAAGAAACCTGATAATGTCTAAGACCACAAGACTGGATCCTGATAAGGCTCTGCACTTGATCACAAAAGCCCACACCCAAGTGAATTAATTAACAGAGTCCTGTCCCAAATTTCTCAAGCAAAATACCACCTTCCCTAGTCCTCCCTAGAACACCCTCTAAAAAAGAAACATCCTTGCCAGCCCTTGAAACAGTGTGACCTTCTCTGTTCAGGAAGTCACTAGGCATCCCTCTTTAGACCATGTAATAAAGGGCTTCCTGGGACCAGCTTCTTTCTATCTTGCTCTCAACTCTTTTTTTCTAACATCCTGGTTATTTCATTTTACATGATTTGCCTTTTTACCTATAAATGTATAATCATATGAATGCCACATATTTTAAGATGTCAGAAAAGTCCAGTTTATATAAATTTCCTTCAACTAATATTAGAATTTGGGAGAAGGATGGGCAATCTCTTCTTATGATTTATTTACTGCCTCAGAAAATGTGCTGGAGGGTCAGCTACGGGTTGATCCTGACTTGACAACAAACAACAAAACAACATGCTTTTATGCAATTAACCATATCCCTCTCACTGTGATATAATAGTTTGTAACCTTCTTTTGTTTATACCAATTTCAGTTTGAGGATTTTGACATCATGGAAAGGGAGAGGGTTTTTTACTTTCTTCGGGGTCCCTAAAATCTAAGCCAGTGATTCAAACTGAATAACTATTCACTCTTTATTTTATGAAAAATAATGTATCACAATGCTCTTTTTCTGGAGAGTAAAATACTAATGACAGATGTATTAGAAAGTTACATCCCGAAAGGATAGACCTCCCTCCCTGAAAGGAGATATGGTAGAAAGGCCACAATGCTCTTTTATTTTTATATAAAAGGTAATATTATTTGCTAAACAAATTATAACCCTCTAATGAAGGTTCTGGACAGAAACAATCCATTGGGAAGCATATGGTTACTAAAAACAGAATCAAATACATGAGCATTTAACAAAAACTTACAATTTTGACCACCACCTTCTTTTAGCCACCACCTTCTTTTAGCAGAAACATGTTAAATTAATTATACCATATATTCTGATTCCTCTAAAAATATACTTCAGAAATATTGACTGCTGAATTTAAACATCATTCCTCTCAACTTAATCCTTGGGGTTTTTTTCTTCTTTTTTTTTTTAATTCTTATGACTATCAGTGGCAGGAAGAAAGTCTCAACTAGGTACAATAAAAGCAGTATGGCTTAAGGAAGGTAAAGGGTGACTCCAAAGCAGGTTTTTGGATGACAAAAAAAAGTGTTTTCAGTATGCAAATTTATAGTTAAATATTGAGAAGACAAAACAATGTAGCAGACAGAACTCTGTAGAGGAAGAAGGGTGGGAAGTGGCATATAAAGAGAATAAACCCAAGACAGAGCCTCCAGAGCTGCTGCTCAGAAACCACAGATCCTAAAATACAGGAAGTTAAGACTGAAGAGCAGAGAGGAAACCACAAGACAGTTTTCAGCTTACAAGGAATACTTCCCTAATTTCAGGATGACATAAAACTGAAAACCTTTAGAAAAGAATAAAGTCAGCTCTGGAGGAAAGTACTGTTCAATGCTGCTTTCTGTTTAACGAAATAATTTCATGAAGTGTGATAAGTATCTTTTAAATTTCAGTGTGAAGAAAATACTGTGCTATCTAGCTCTCTCCAAAGGAGCCAAAGTGAAAAAAGAAAGAGTATCACCATGAAGTATTAGACATAATCATTTACTGTTCAGTTGGACCCCTTTGCATGAACGTTTATAATGCATTTTTCCTGGGGTAGGAATAATTGTTTATTTTGCTAATGTGATACCAAAAGAAAAGTACCTATGATAAAATGTAAGTATTGAGAGAAACAGTTTTCCTAAGGGGAAAAAAGTGATTTCAAATGGTTTTTACCAAGTGAAGACAAAGTAAGTTCTTGAGAAACAGTATTATGGAGCAAATCAAAGTAGAAGAAGGTTACACATTCAAGTCAATGTTAAACCATTTCCTCCTGCTATAGCTCATTCTGAAAACTCAAAGTAGGAAAAACTGTAAGTTGTAACTACTATCACAAGAAACTTGCTGTATTTAAGTGACATACCAATGCTATAACACAATCAAAACAATAAAAAATAGTAAGAGACAGTGCTAATATAAAGCTAAAGTAAAATTTCAACTTTCACTAGATGACACTATTTCTACAGTGATGAATTACTCCTACTGAGAATCTAATTATGGAAGAGATACATGTGACTCATCTAGTGAATATCATAACATCCTTTCAGGTCTAGAAGACAGAAAAGTCAAGGCTGTACATTTTAACAGGCCCTGCATATTCGATTTCTTTTTTTTCACCTTTACTCCCATCCCTTCCCCTACCCCCTCAATTTTTAAATGATAGAGATGAAAATACTAGGGAGATGTACTTTCTTTTTTTAAAAAATACACATTTCTTATCTACCCATCATCTACTTTTTATGTACTTTGCAAAACATTCTTTTGCTCCCCTCACCCTTGCTTTGCATCAAATTCTCATTTCTGTTCTTAAAGTGTTATCAAAGGCTGTCTAAAAGCATGTGCTACTTTATGAATTAACTAGAGATTTATTTATTTTAAACATTAAGAAGCAATAGTTTAAAATAATATATAAAGAAACTTTGGGGTAAAGAGAGCCCATAAAAAGAAGTCAAGCACAATTAGAGACTGGATTTCTAGCTTCCAATTCTGGATTCCTCCCTGTATATAGATGCATGGTCTGTATCTTGTTATTATAGAATAATGGTGCCAGGCAGAAGCATACACAGTCTGCACAGTCATTTGCATGTGGCAGCTCTGCATCTTTATAATCTTCTATCACACGCAGCAACTTCACGCTCAAACACTAAACCCATTCACCCTCACTTCTGCCCAGATAGGCAAGTATTAAAGAGCAAAACCCAAAAAGTCTGATAAACTACCTGCTGGTACAGAAAGTCAGTCAGTTTCTTCATCTATTAAACAAAGACAACTATATGCTCCCTCCTAGAGTAATTATAGTTTAAGTGACAGAAAAACCATAGGACCTGGAGCCTTGCATGCAGTAGGTACGCAATGACCATGGCTCTCTGTCTAAGCCTTTCTTGGTTATGACTGGTTTATTACTTGTGTTCTTTCCAACCTTTCCTCCTCTCTCTGCCCCCACCCCTTCAATTATATAATCCAGTACTTCTCCTCCTTTTCCATGATCAAAGCACTGGTGGAAGAAAATGATAGATAGCATTTGTCAAAGGTAGCCTTAATGCTATCCTAGACACGAACGCTTGTATATTCTGTATCATACACTTTATGGGTATATTTATTATTTTTGAATTATTTTTAAAAGTAATATACTCAGTCCTGAATTCTGTTTTAAAATTATGGACAAAACATTCTCACTCTAAGAATTTTTAAAAGCTTCAAAGTGAAAAACTTGTAAAACAGGACTGGATAATGTTCCCTTCAGTAACCGCAATCATTTTGAAAGGCATTACGAACAACATATCTGGGGAGGGGTAGCTTATTCAATGTTAAAATTTGTTTTTTTTTAAAAAAAATTAAAGCTATCATCCTACTTTAATATTTAAAATATCTAAGGCAATTCTTTAAGTCTACAAATTTTAAAAAGGAGATTCCTTATGACAGAGGTGTGATCTTGATCTCATTATTTAAAATGAGCAATTAACATAAAAGTTGGTTGTCCCATATAAGGTATCTTAGGTAGATATACTTAGGTATATATACTTAGAGAACACAAAGACAGACAAACAAAAGCTAACTATAATTTACAGTTTCATTTCCCTGCTAAAACTGCTTAGCTTACATTCAACTGCTATTTCTTCTTTTCACCTACCATTCCCGGGCGAGCTTCTTATAAGCCTTTTTAATATCAGCCTGACTGGCTGTTCGGCTGACCCCTAGGACTCTGTACGGGTCAAAATCCAACGCAGACAGAATTTGCAGGATGAGAACCAGAACTATCAAGAATTGCCAGGAAAGGCCCAACTTTTTCACTTCCATTTCTCTTCCTTTCCAGAGCTGAAATGATTGAAGAGGCAGTAAGTTTCAGTGACACAGAGGTGGACAGTATTATTTTTTTTAGCTACACAGGATATATGGATGAAACACAAAACAAGCAAAAGGTATTTTGCAGGTAAAGTGTCAAGTTCTCTGATCATCTCTCTGGAATCAACAGCTACTATTATTTCTGAATTTCCCAAATAAGAACTATTGTAGATGAAAAGAAGAAAATAAGAACAGCAACTCTCTAGAATCCTTGCATTAGAATAATTTCTAATTAGAAATGATGAAAAAGAAATGAGATAAAGAAATAAAAAGCAAATGTGAAAAAACAGGAATAGAAAAATTAAGGTGACTATTTCAAATACACTATTTCATTTACTCTAACAAGAAAGCTTAAACTTTTAAGAATATTTCACTTGAACATGTGCTAAATAAATTCACACAATCATAGGATTCACCCTTCAATCACAAAATGCAGGAGCTATGGTAATCTTAGGCATGGAGTACAAATATGAAATACTCTGAAAAAAACTTTACAATTAGAATCAGTATGCCTCAATTCCATTCTTTCTCAACATGTCCACTGAGATAACAAAGGAACATAAGATAACGAGGAGGGGGCATCATGCTTGGAAAAGTGGAGTTCAGAGAGGGGAAGACTGTCAGAGACAGAATGACAGATGACTGTTAACAGTGGGCTCCAGTGTGTCAGGGAAGGCAAGGATGGTACAGATAGGGAAGGGTTCAGATCCACTGTTCATAGGGTCACTGTGAATTGTAGTTGACTCGAGGGCTCCTAACTCTTTAATTATTAGCAATAATATCATTACAATTGAAGACCTCACATGAGAAATAAGGTAGTGAGGAAAAATACAGCTTTTCATGTAAAACCAGAATGGCTGAGATTGTTTAAATAATATGTTGTGCAGTCACAACCTAATTTATGCTCCACCGTGGGTAAATGTAGTGACTGAATTTAATTCACTGAAGGTTTTGGAAATAATTCTGTATGATTAATGAATAAGACTGTGGTGATATTTCTCAGACATTTACACTCCAGGATTATAATCTTTGTGGCATTATGCAATGATCCCCCTGCCCCACAAGAGCCCTTATGTATCCTATTTATAAATCACTAGAGTTTTATGGTTTACAATTAACGTAACATTATTCAAAAGAGAAAGAGACCACTGGAAGGCTAGTTAGTGGTTAAGGAGTTGCACTGCCAACCCAAAGGCAAGTGGTTGGAATCTCCTAGCTACTTCGCAGGACAAAGATGGGTAATCTCCTCCCATGTGATTGATTTACAACCTCTGGAAACTCATTGGACGGACGGGTCGTCTATGAGCCGGTCCTGACTCCACAGCAATGGCTATTTAGTTCTAATTCATGAGGAACAAAGCCGCAAAAGGATTTGTCTAGTGGAAGTCTAATGCTGCCTAGGAATTCTTACAAAGCGAGTCGTCTGAGGCTCAATGTTTAGTTCTACATGCATGCTAAATATAATCCTAAAACAAAGTACTCTCTTCCTGGGTAAAGCAACCCTTTCTGTCACACAGTGATTTTTGGATCAGTACAGAGTAAGCACTAAAAAAAAAAAAGGGAAAGATGTGTAGGACCTGGATCTTGAAATCAGACTACAGTTGGAATCTAACCTCAACCACTTACTTAAATAAGTTACTTAAACTTGCTAAGCATCAATGTACTTTACGGGGACAAACACTACTACCTTGAAGTATCGTCGCGGGGTTTAAATGTGTGTAAAAGATTTACTGTGCGCGGTCAACAGTTGACAAGTGGTACTTATTATTTCAGCCATGAGTATACAATCAGCCTCATTCAACTGAGTTGGCCGCTTCCTCTCGAGCGCCCAAGGGTGGGGGGTTTGTGAAGTTTTTTTGCTGACAGTCTCTGGTCCCACTGTGACGGCCACAGGGCAGGAAACAACCCGCCCAACAGGTAGGCTGCCCGCCCTCGGGGCTGCACCCGTTCAACTAGACAGGAGCTCCCACAACACGCTACAGGTCTGAGCCTCGCCTCGAGCTTCTGTTGGAGGCTGCAACCCTCCAAGGAGTGGACCCTTCCCCGCCATCCTCCTAGGGCCCGGGGCCTGGCTCTATCAGGTCCCAGTTTTCTCCCGGCCCAGCTGAAACCAGGGGCGAGAAGGAACTGACGAAAGATTCCCCGCGCCTACCCGGCTCCGCAGCCTTCGCGGCTCCACGAGACACGCAAGGAAGGAGTTACCGGGAAAGGGCACCGGCCAAACCGGCTGCAGCGTCCGTGTTCCAGTCAGTCCGCCTGGCAGGGAGACTCCCGTCCACAACAGCGCTCGCTCCGGCTTGGGGAGGGGAAGGAGGAGGAGGTGGAGGCGGAGGTGAACGCGAGTGGTCAGGTGACCCTTAAAGTACCAGCGCACGGAAGGTGCAACTGAATCGATTCAGGGTTGCGAGTTTGCGAAGACTTTTGACCCTTGTCCCCTGCCGTCTGCGCGTGGGCTTGGCGTCGTTGCCATGGGGACGATGCGCGTTCTTTGGCTGGCTCCAAAAGCGATGGTCGTGACCAAAGAGGCCAAAACGTGCCTCCTAGCGAGGCGTAGTCGCGATGCATGATGGGACGCCATAAAGACCTCCTGGATCCTGGGAGGGGTTTCCACGCCTACCAGGAGCTGGCCCTCGTTTGGCAACAGTTGCTAGGATTGGGAAGCAATCTCTGGTCCCTGCTCTCTTTAACCCTATTCATAGAACCCTAGAGCGTCAGAGTTGGAAGGGACCTTAGGGATCCTTTCAAGCCTGACTCCTCTGTATACTGATGGGGAGACTGAGGCTCAGAGAAGGACGTGGACGTGCCCAAGGTCACAAGGTCATTCAGTGGAGGGGAGTTGAAACCTCGAGTCCTAATTCTATACACCATAGTGAGCACCACCCTAGAATGTGCCAGGTCCTGCGATAAAGGAAAATGTGTGTGCGCGCGCGTGCGCGCAATGTCCAAGGGAGGGTACAGATGAATGAGGCAAACTTTGAGTCAATGAAATAGGTCTCTCGGGAATATAGAGGGACACCCTTTCATATTCCCTGACCCTTTGCCCTCACCACTATACTATTTCTTTGCACTTGTAAAGCACTACCTTTCCCCCCCCCCTTTGTATTTTTTGTCATTTGTCTCCCCCCACTGGAGTATGTGAGCTTTTAAGGGCAAGAGGTTTTGTTTGTTTTCTTCACTTCCACATTGTCTGGTGTCTGCATAACCTTAGTACAAACATGCTTTCACTAAATATTTGTTGAATAAATGAGGCTGAAGTTTTGCTGCTCATGGAGATTACATTCTGAGGTAGAATCTGGATAGTGTGGGTTATGAAATCAGTTTGGGGTTGAATCCTGCTTACCTCTATGTGATCTTCAGTAATGAATTCACGTCTCTGAACACTGCGGTGTATATATCTGCAAAAATGGGAGAAAAGAATACTTCCTTGGCTTGATTGATTGAGTGATTGTTGTTATGTGCTGTTGAGTCGCCTGTGATGTATAGTGACCCTGTGTACAGCAGTTCTGAACTCTTCCCAGTTCTGAGACAGCCTCACTAATTCTGACACACCAACCCCCATTGCTCCCATTACTGTACCAATTCCTCTCATCCGGGGTCTTCCTCTCTTGCACTGTCCCTCCACCCTTTGGAGCACAATGTCGTTCTCCAAAGACCTTTCTCTCCTGGCCATGTAGTGAGGGACATTTGATATGATTTATGTAAAGTAACTAGCCCAGTAACCGGGACATAGAAATTATGCACATGAAAATATTTTCAAATGAAAAAATGTAGTAACTTTTCTTGAAAATTTTCAATAAGTCATACAAACCATAGGCAGTAAGGGGACGAAATTTCTGTATTTTCTTCTTTTTCGAAGTCGCCAGAGTGGAATACTAGGGAGTGTGAGGATGGTACAGAATTGCGCAGGGATTGTTATATGCAAGGCCGCTATTTCATGGCACCTGTTAACAGAGGGCGTGACATGTATAGAGGTGGCTTTAAAGTGAGCTTTGTTGGTCTGTAGGGACCCAAGGTGCACTCCTCTTTGCTATTTGAATCACCACCTGCTCCACATGAGAAAAATGGGCAGTTTTCCTCGGTGAGATTTGTTGGTGAGGACGTGAGTGTTTGGGATGACAAACGGGCTAGAGTGGAGATATCTAGAAACCCAGTAGGAACGAGACTCGTAATTTTAATTGGATGAGGGAGGGAACGATGCTTGAGAGGGGGAGTTGAATATGGTTAAACCACTGATCCAGACATGGCTGTCCTTTACACTAGCAATGTGCTTCCCAACTCCTGAGAAGGAAAGCTGAGAAAAAAGAGAGAGCTGGGGCGTGGAGGCGGGTCCTGGGGCTTGGAGGCGGGCATTGGGGCGTGGAGGTGGGTCTTGGGGCGTGGAGGCGGGCCCTGAGGCGTGGAGGCGGGCGTTGGGCCGTGGAGGCGGGTCTTGAGGCGTGGAGGCGGGCCCTGAGGCGTGGAGGCGGGCGTGGAGCCGTGGAGGCGGGTCTCGGGGTGTGGAGGCGGGTCCTGGGTGGTGGAGGCGGACATTGGGGCGTGGAGGTGGGTCTTGGGGCGTGGAGGCGGGCATTGGGGCGTGGAGGCGGGCATTGGGGCGTGGAGGCGGGC